ATTAGCATTATTATATACTAATTATAAAAGTGTTGAGAAAGAAATCAAGAAAACAATGTCATTCACATTAGCTACCAAAAAATACGTATGAATAAACTTAAGATAATGAATGATATCTACAATAAAAGTTATCAGACCCCTGGTGAAAAAAAAATTGAAGACATTAAGAAAATGGAAAGATATTCCACGTCCATGGTTTAGAAGAATTCATATCCCTTAACATGGCTGCACGATCCAAAGTGACCTACAGATTCAGTACAATTTTTATGAAAATATTGAGGACATTTTTTTTACAGAACTGAGAGCCACATTCATAAAATTTGTAAGAAATCACAGAAGACTGAGTATCCAAAGCAATAATCTGTAGAAATCACAAAGCTATAAGCATCACAAGATATGAGTTCAAGATGTATTTTAAAACTACAGGAACTAGAAAAGCATGTTACCAAGATAAAAACAAACACACAGAAGAACCAAACTAAGAACCCAGAGATAAATCCATATATTTACAACCACCTTACGTTCAACAAAGTTGGCAAGTGTGTACATTAGACAAAGGAAAGATGCTTCAACATATGGTGCCAGGAAAACAGGTATCTGTATGGAGACGCACACATACACAGATCCCTCAAGGCCTTTCACTATACACAAAATTCGACTCAATCTTTTCTAAATGTGAGATCTAAAATTATGAACTTGTTAGCAGAAAACATAGGGGAAATACATTGGGAGATTGGTCTGGACTATTTTCCTGCACTTGACTCCAAAATTACAGGCAGCAAAAGGAAAATGACTGCAATGGGCTTATAGCAAACTAAAAAGCTTATATACAGCAAAAGAAACAAACAAGAGCAAAGAGACAGACTTTGGAGTGGAGGGAAACATTCATGAACAGTGCATCTCACAAGGGATTAGTTCCCAGAATATATAAGGAACCCAAACAACAAAACAACCAACCCATCTAATGGATAGATGAATGACCTGAATAAACATTTCTCAAAAGATTCATCAAGCTCAATAAGAATATTTTTTTAAAGAGTTCAACACAATTAATCATTAGGCAAATGAAAAATTATATCATACCCAAGTTAGAATGACCATTATCCCAAACACAAAATATTGCATTTTGCCTTTCAGCACCAAGTTGAGAATAGATTTCCTTGTTCCTGCAGTCAGTGGACCAAACCAATGTTTATCACTTATGTCTTTGAGGCAATACAGTTAATAGGAAATATCTTGTAAAAAAAATAGAGATAATTTTTTGGCATCTTTTCTAATTGCTTAGCCAAACTAATTTAGGACCAGTGGAAATTTATGACTCACAGTTCCAGAGGCACCAGCAGAGAGAGGTGTCTGGTGAGGGTCTGTTCCTTGTGGATGTCACTTTCCTGCGTCACCTCCACATGGTGGAAGGGCAAGGCCACTGTCTTCAGTGTCTTCTACAGTCCTCTTCATGACTCAAGTCTTATGACCCAGTTACTTTCCAAAAGCTCCCACTCCTTAAGACCATCCTATCAAATGTTAGGTTCCAGTATACTACCTTGAGGGAACACCAACATTCATGTTTTAGCAGTGGGTTTGGGATTCTTTTTAACTGAGATTTCTGCAACCATCCTAGATAGGCAGCTCCTACCCCAGGTATTGTATTTGTCATTTTTCTTTGATTTCTAATCTTGTCCTGTAAGACAAAAAAAAAAAAAAAAGTTCACCTAGAACAATGTTTACAAAGTTTAGATTTAAGAAAACATGGCATGTGCCTTATTTTATCACGTAGCTTGTTTCTAGATTTTAATATTTACAACGTTTTGGTGACATATCCAACTGAGAGGAAGACATGACGGTTCCAGGAGGCAGGGGGAATCCCACATGTCAGCAGGGTTCTTCTGCAGTCTGCCATCTCCAAGGCTGTCAAAGTCAGTCTCTGAACATGAACTCGACAGATCGCCACACACGTGTGCCTAGATGAAGGGCCCCTGGAAGCCACTCTGCATGCCACCTTTCCAATCAAGCAGGTGCCAAAATCAACTGCTATGGTTTGTTCTACATCTGCTTGGTGAATCTGGGACTACTCCTCTCAGAGTCCCCTTCCCTGGAGGCTCCAAGTCAGCACTGGTTCTAAGGGCTGCCAGTGTGAGATTTGAAAAATGCAAGTTCAGCCTGGTTCAGTGTGTTGCCTGGCCAAGAGTTCCAAATGGCTTCATTTCTGCTCAGCTTCACCTCCAGCTGCTCTTTCCAATATCGTTGCTGACTCAGAGTGTCTCAGAGGCACACTTCAAATCCCCTGGCTGAAGATCCCCTGAAAAGGTCACTCTAGAACTCCAAGGGCCACCTGCCAGGCTACTCCCACAGCTGTGAAGCCTGGCTTTTCAGACTGACAAATTGAAGACCTCAGTGCACGTGAGGAAGCACCTTCACTTCTCCAAGCAGTCTCCAAGCAGACTCCTAGCACCTAGACCAGCTAACCAAACCACACAAATCCCTAAATGGATCCTGCTGTGCTGTCTACACCTGATCCCCAATGAAGAACCACAGAAGGGGCACACACTCAAGGTCTCCTTTGTGCTCCTCTTGAAGGCTCAGCATGTCTCACGTGGGAACTGCATGCTGCTGCCTGCGTTCCTGGCATCCCATATAGGCTCTAGTTTGTGTCCTGGCTGCTCCACCTCTGATCCAGCTCCCTGCAAGTGCACCTGGGGAAGCAGAAGCGGATGGCTCAAGTGTTTGGGCCCCATGTGAGAAACCTAGATAAAGTTCTTTCTGGGCTTTGTCTGGCTTAGCTCTGGCTGTTCCCTTTCTCTCTGTAACTCTTTCAAGTAAATAAATCTTTTAAACAAACAGTCTTACATGTAGGGTCCAATATGATGGCTCAATGGCTAAAACCTTACCTGGATCCCAATTGGGTGCCTGATCACAACCTGGCTGCTCTACTTCCCATCCAGCTTGCAGCCTGGGAAAACAGTGGATGGCCCAAAGCCTTGGGATCTGCACCTGTGTGGAAGACCCAGAAGAAGTCTGTGGCTCCTGATTGGCTCCACTCTGTCCGTTGTGGCCATTCGAGGAGTGAATCAGCATATGGAACATCTTTCTCTCTGTCTCTTCTTCTCCCTGTAAATCTGATCTGCCTTTCCAACAACAAAAATAACTTTTTTAAGTTTGATGTATGAGGCATAAATGGTATCAAAAGACAACTTCAAGTGCATGCATCTACATCTAGCTGCGCATTGGTTTCAAACTTGGCCTCTGAGATTCCTTCCTCCCAACTCACATTCAGTGTGATGCCAGCTGCTCCGTCCACACCACACAATCTCATTACAGCTCTCCAGGTCACAGGCAATTGACGGAGCTGGTGCTCACTGCCACGTAGTGCTCTACAACATCAGCCCTGGAGCAGTGCTGGGACACAGGGGCCAATCTCTCACTTGTGTCATTGATGGTTAGGTGAGACTCACACAGGTGTTCCTGAGTATTCCATCATTTCCAAACCGAAAAGTAAATCCCCTGAGTTGTATTAAAAAAAAAAAACACCATAAAATTGTGGGTCTGAATTGTTGTTTTATTGCTTCATTGTTTTATCAAATGCAGTCAATGCTTTTGAGTGACGGTAGTGAGGTGTCCAAAATCAAACGTTGCAACATTCCAACAGTCAAATGTGAAGCAGTAACAAGTCTTTCAATGTTAATTCCTCTAAGGAGGGTACTTCAAGAAAGTCATGAAAAAAATGGAATGAAGAGAAATTTGAGCCAAAAAAAAAAAACCCTGAAGTCTATGCATAGTGCCTTCATAATGCACATGTCCACACACTTTTTGAAGACCTCCTTCCTATGAATGGATTCTAAAGGTTATTTTTGTAGCAAAACAGGCGTGGATTTCATTCCACTTCCCACATACTTGTGCCAAGTGCCTTTGTTACCGGTGGTGCCACTTGCCGTAATGGCTACTGGCTCATGAAGAGCCTCAAATCCAACCAACTGCTCAGGCATGGTGTGGCGGGGTGGGGGCAGGGGGAGGAGCAGGACTCCCACTTCCCCAGGAAATGGCTGCAACAGTCAGGAGAGTAGAAGAACCAGTGTGGATGGCCGAGACCAGAATTGGTACTGTTGTCAAGGAAGTGACCTGTGCCCGCACAGCGCTTCTTCAGCCCAACCCTTCTGTAAGCAAACAGCTCATTTTAAAAGCACGACTGGCAGTCTGACCTGACACAGAGGGTGGCTGAAGGCATGGGATTGCTGAGCCGTGCATCTTGCTCAAAACTGTGTGCCATCTCTGAAGGATGGTCAGCTTCCCCGCACTGCTTACAATGGCAACTTCATCGTTTCTGCAAGTGCCCTGCTCCTTCTGCAAGGGACTGAATCTCCATGGGGTGGGGAGGGATTTAGGGGGAGACATAGCTGCATTATAACACACAACAGAAAAGTAAACACACAACTCTGGCAGGGATCTGAAACTACCACAGGAAATAAACACTACAGACCCCACCTTCGCAGTCCCACGCCCCCAATGCCCGCCTGAATCTAAAGAAATGGTGATTTTCCCATGAGTCAGTTACTGACCAGGGCTGATGGAGTCTACATAAGAAATATGCAATGACAGAGAGCTTAGCAAAGGACAAACTTCCTTATACACCCAGGACAGATTCAGATGTCCAACCTGCTCTCAGTCCTTCCTAAGGATCATCTTGGGTTTCCATCATAGGACCGGATAAGGGCCAGCAGTGCCTGCAGGTGATCCTGAGGGCTTGGTCACCTGGACCCTCTTTGGAGGAAACATGAGGTCACCAGATGCTGCTGACAAACGTAGTGAGGCTGAAAAAGGAAGCGACGAGGAAATATAAAGGTGCATTTATTGGTGTCCATGCCATCTAAAGCTACCAAGTACAGTAATGAGGACTGGAGAAGGACGGATGAGAACCAAAAACAACACACAAACACCAGGATGGGTGTCCCTTGTAAGACTCGCATACTGGCAAGTCAGTGTCCTCCCTGAGAAGCTCGATCCACGCTGCCTTCTCTCCCTGCAGCATCCTCCATCTCTCTCCGTCAGGGCCTGCAAAGTGTTGGGATGCAGCTGCATTCTCTTCTGTGCAGCCATTGTCAGTCGCCTGTGGGCTGGAGCTGAGTGGGGTCGGGACCCCCAGGCTGGCCCCGCAGCCCCTCCATGGCCTGCAGTAGGGCAGCCCGCTCCAGCTCTAGTGCCAGTAAGGCCTGCTTTAGCTTGCTCTCACTGCCCAGCAGCTTCTCCACTGTGGCTTCCAGGCTTTGGATCCTGCTGTTGGCCACCTGGAAATAAAAAACAGAAATGGGGTCATTACCTACCTATGGCAGCATGAGAGGGAGAGAGAGCGAGCTGTGGTTTGGCAACAACACGTCCCCATCCCACTGCCAGTCCTGGCCAGGCAGCAAGGCGTTTCCTGGCTTCCCTCGTGGACAGGCTGGGTCCAGGCAGAAGCAGCCCAGTCCCTCCAGTGTGGCCCCTAGAGAAACCAGATGTGAAGATGGTGGCAACGTGGCACAAGGGAGGCATCAACTCCAGGCACTGCCACGAGGAGGAGAGCTCTGACACGGCTCAAGGGTGCCAGGCCCAGCTGGGTCTGACAGACACCCACACATGTGCACTGATGGCAGACACAGAGTCACAGTGCCAGGAAAGTCCCAGGAGCAACAGCTCACTGGCCTGAGGTTCTCTTTTGTCTTCTTAGAGTAACAAGACATAACGGAACATGGGCATCTCCCTGGGAACACATGACAAGTGTGCAGGTGAGCTGCCTGTTCTGTGGTGTGCATGCGCCAACGTGCTGCCCCTTTCCGCTGTGTGCTGCCTTGTACCTGGGCCACTGCCACCCAGGGGCATGAGTTCAAGGTTCCCTAGGCCTGTCCCTCATCTGCAGCCTATACACCAGTAAGGCCATTCATGGAGTTTCCAGGCGCCGCTCACTGCCTAGCAACTCTCCCTCCCTCTTCTGCAGTGCAGCAGGCTTCCCAGGCAGCAGGTATGGGGCACAAACACTAGCATCTGCCTATGTCATCCCTGGGCCTCTCTGGCTTGCTCGCAGCTACATTCCGGAGTGCTCCAGCCCCCAGGGTCACGGAGGTGGCTGCTCCGCCTTCCTGAGTCCACCCCAGTCCTTTCCTGCCTCCCTTTCACTTCAGGTGAGGAAAGTGGCACATCATCTGTTCATTTCCCCCCCTCGTTTTCAAAACTAGAAAATGCTTTTTCTGGGCCTCCCATGTGGGTACAGGGGTCCTAGCACTTATGTCACCTTCCACTGATTTCCCAGGCACATTGGCAGGAATTGGATCGGAAATGGAGCAGTCTAGGATAGAATCAGCACCTGTATGGGAGGCCAGCATCACAGATGGTGGCTTTACTGCCTACTGTGCAACATCAGCTCAATCTTTCAAATAAACATTTTTTTTTAAAATTATATTATTTGAAAGACAAAGAAAGAGAGAGAGGTTCATTTCCCAAATGAACTGCTGGAGCCAGGCCAAGCCAAAGCAGAGGACGGCCCAAAGCTTTAGGAACCTACACCCATGGGGGAGACCCGGAGGAGGCTTCAGGCTCCTGGCTGCAGCTGTTACGGCCACTTGGGGAGTCAATCGGAAGATCTTCTGCTCTGTTTCTCCTCTCTGTATATCTGACTTTCCAATAACAAATAAAAAAATCTTTAAAAAGAAGTGATACAGAAAGGCTGCCTGATTCCCACACATGAGATGCATGTTCTCACGCAAGACAGTGGGGAAGCCACATCCAAATTGCCACATTTTGGCATGCCATGGTCCCATCCCAAATCCCCTGAGGCTGCAGTGGCACCTGGATCTCGGTCCCATGGACCCAGGAACCGCTGGTATAAATGTCAGCCCAGGACGCCTGCCCTAGTGGTGCACAGCCACAGGGGCAGCAGAGAGTTTACCAGCAATCGCTGCTGAGGCCCTTCACGAGCAGCATGGACACCTGAGCCGTCTGCTGCAACCCCGTCTCCCAAAAGGGACACAGTCTCACAGAAGTCGCGTACCAGCTTTCTACCCTTACTGCCAAAAAACCACAGGAAACCCCAGAAACTAACACACCAAAAAAACCTGTCCCTTTAATTTGCATACTGCCTATCTTAATAAGCCAACTGCTTCAAATGCAAACAACAGGCTTGTCTGAAGTGGGTTCAAGTTCCAGTCATGTTCTAGGGATGCACATTCGGGGATGCACTGTTAGTGTGGAAGCCGGCTAAGGTTTCCTAATACTCTGTCCCCTTGAGATAAGGCCCATGTCCCCAGGAATTCCAGGAAAAGCCATATGCAGGTATGCTTTGAGTTGGGACATCCCAATCTTGGGGGGGAAAAAGTGAGAGTTCAGAATGTGACTGGCTGTGGGGTACAGGGGTGCAACGCATGCTGCTGTACAAAACTCCAGCCGGTGAATCCTTCCTTGCAACAGCAGGTCCCCACCCCACTTCTCAACACTGGCAGCACTGCCACCCACCTGTGACACTACAAAAGCAGGATGGACAGCTACTTCATGTTAACGCGACTGCAATTATTCTAGTCCCAGGAACACGGGTGAGGGAATCAGGGTTGCAATCCGTTGGGGGAATGACGTGGGTCGGGAAAACACAGGGTCGGTCTAGCAGGGTCTGGTCCTGGCACTAGCCTGGTGCTTGCTCCACCTCACCCCCTGGCTCCTGTGTGTTCTCACCCACACCTTTCCATGTTCAGAGTGAAGAACTGCGCCCTTCATGACTCAGGAACCTGTACTTGCTTCACACTCAAGAATGATCACTGTAAGCTCTGCTTTCTTTGGTTGGGCAGATTACTATGTGGCTGCCCTCTCTTAACAGCCCTTTGTGGTCTGGGCTGGTCTTGTCCATGGCAGTTGAAGATCCTGATTGTCTCATCATGACCACCCGCCAGCTGGCATTCAGCTCACAGAGCCACAGCATCCTGACCCCACACTCATCCTGGGGAGGGTCTGACTGGAGCAGACTGCTCTGTAATAAAAAGGGCCAGCTCCCCTAGGATGCCTTTGATCTCCATTATAAACAGACTAGGGTGAGAAAGGCCCTCAGGTCCTGGGAAACCACAGGCTGTCACCGCCTTTGGTGAGTTAATGAACTACCATCTACCCACTCAGTTAAACAAACTGCTCTAACAACAGGCTCTACCTGCAACTGTTCCAGGAGGTCAAGGTTCTGTTTGCGTAAGCTGCTGTTAGTTTTCTCTAACTTATCCATTCTTTGGTTGTCACTGAGAGGCGAGGAATCGATGAGCTCTTCTTGAAGCACATGGTACTCGACTTCATAAGCTTGTAACTGCTTGGCGATGTCCATCTCAAACACCTGTTATACACAAAGAAAGGGAAAAATCCATTGCATCTATCACACACATGTGCATGACATGTCAGCAAGTGTCCATTCAGTATCTCCCTGCTGCTTAGCATCATGCGTGGTACAAGAAGTGATAAATAAGGAACTCTCAGCACTGACAAGGCAATGAAACTTCTAGAAATAATTCCACGGCCGCAATTAAGTACAGGCTTTTTGTATTTTTTAAAAGAGTTCATTTTATCTATTTTAAAAGCAGAGTTAGAAAAAGAGAGAGAGGACTTCTATCTACTGGTTTACTCTCCAAATGGCCTCTAAGGCCGTGGCTGGGCCAGGCCAAAGCCAGAGCCCGGAGCTTCCTTGGCCTTCCTTCATGGTTACAGGAACCCAAGCACGTGGGCCATCCTCTGCTGCTTTCCCAGGTGCATTGGCAGGGAGCTGGATAGCAAGTGGAGCAGTTGGGACTTTGCAGCCCATGTGACATGCTTTAGGTGGTGTGTTAACACTCTGCACCTCCAGTGTTGGCTTTGAGTGTAGGTTTCTGATATATATCTTTCAAAAGCTAAAAAGACTTTCAAAAGTTTATTTTTCAGTTCTTATTTCAGTAATTTTGTCTATTCCCTGAAAATTATATTATGTTAGATGTGTTAACCACAGGTTAAAAAGAAGAAAAATATCAAAAGAATCAGCCCTATTTGCATGCCCATCCAGCTGAAGTTTAAGCCCTTAGGGTTTTCAGAGCCACAAAAACAGTCAAGTCATGGAGCTGTTGACTATACAATCTCCCTTTACACAGGTATGCAGACACAAGCCAAAACCCCAGTGTCATTGATAACAGATGCATGAATCTGGGAGTGCTCTAGTCCCCTTCCTTCCCATAACAGTGACAGTGATCACAAACCACTCTGGCGAAAAACAGCCCCGGAGAGCACATGTGACTCAAGCAGATTGTGTCTGTGCTCCACCACAGAAAGGAAGCCACGGGGCTGGTGAGGCCAGAAGCTAGGTGCATCCCCTGCCCCTCTTGGGGTCTCCATGGGGCAACCCTCCCAGGCTGGGGTACCTTGGCACAGGTCTGATGCTCTGACAGGTACCTGGTGGTGCTGCAGGTGCAGTCACACCAAAACCTTCCGAGACCAGCCTGCTGGGTCACTGCACACATCCAGAGACGGAAAGGAGGCTTTTCTCTGCTTCATGTTCTCAAGGGAGAAACCCCCACACAGCTACCACCTGGGTGTGCTCACACTAACCCAGCATCTCTCAAATTGCTCACAAGCCTCGGGTACTTACTCACCATTTCCCACTCCCCGCCCCGTCTCTCCTTCCAATCCGTTTTCTCTTCCTTGCAAGCAATGTCTCAGTTTCCTGGCTTTTAGAAACTGTTCAGAGCCTTAAAGGTAAAACACAGCTAATCTGGGGCACATGCACATATGGGGGAGTGAGTGAGCAAGCTGTGCAGGACAGCAGGAGCGCTGCTGGCTGCTTCCCCGTTGTCCCACAGTGTTACTCAGATTGGCGAGGATCATTGTCTTCTGTTTCAGAGTCCATATGACTCAGTAAGCTCCACTGGCCTACTCTGCAAATGACTTTGAGCCAGCTGTTGAACCTTTCCTGGCCTCAGCTCCTGCCTCTGACATGGGTCTAAGCATGCTTCCAGCACAGTGGGAATCCAATGAGCACCTCACAGGAAGTCATAACGTGCAACTGTGATCGGCCAGCATGCTTAGTAGATGCTCTGTAGCCTGAGGTGTCTGCTTCTACACACCTGCCATGAGTCTCATGCCTCAGCAAACCCACATGGCTGCAGCACCACAGGGTTTCTAACTGGACCCTGCAGAGCAAGAACCACTGCTGAGGTCCCGGCATGTGGTTCTTAAAGAGGGGACTCAGTCAGGGTCATGCACACAACCACTTCCTATCTTCCAGACAGGAGAACCCTGGGTCCTGAGCAGTGCTTCCAGCCCCTGGGCCAACTGAGTGGGGAAGTGACCGAAGACAGGAGGGGTGGCAACAGGAGCCCTGTCCTTGCATGACCCATTACCTGTGTTAATTTTTAGCTAGAGAAAGAACTGCAAAGCCTAGGATTTAAAACTTGCTTCTTGGGGTAGGTTCCGATGCCACTCGGGATGCCCCCATTTTACACTGGAGTCTCTGGGTTCAAGTGCCAGGTTCTGCTTCCAATCTAGTGTGCACCTGAGAGGTGATGCCTCAGGACCTGGGTTTCAGCCACCTACATGGCAGTTACAGCTCTCGAGATTTGAGCATTTGTCACAGTCATTGGGGGAGTGAGTCAGTGGATAGAAGTTTGCTTGCTCTCTCTCCCTTCTTGCCTGCCTAGCAAATAAATCGACAGAAATAAACCAAACAACCCAATTCTATGATATACTGTCTTTCTTCCCAGGCTGTGTGCATCCTTACTCTTCCAACATCCACATAGCCCCTAGCACATGCAGCAGGCCAAGTTCTCTGTAAATTCTTTTTCCCAGAAAAGGAACAGGAGGGGCCTTTTTTCTGGGGGGTCAGGAGACTCAATCCCAGGGGTGAACTGACCCCTTGCTGAGCCAGCTGTCCCAGAGCCAGGCGAGAGGGCAAGCAGCTGACACTCACTGGCCGCTGTGTTGAGGAACCCAAGGCTCTCTGGCTTAGCCAGGGAGCATCAGCATGCTCCCCAGAAGCCGTAAAAAGGGAACAGATGAATGAAAGGGGCAGAAATTAACATATTAACAGAGAACTGCATATTAGGATACAGCCAGGATATGCAAGCGCAGCACAATTACATGACCCCATGGGTGTCTGAGGTGAGCTACACGGGGAATGGGCGCCAGCTAACAAATCCTCCTGTACCTCTTGGGAAGGCAGTCATGGCTCAGTGAGATCATGTGCACATGCAGGTTCCCACACAGCCTGGTGAAGAGTAAGTAACTAATGGGCCAGATGGAGAGGAGTGTGACGTGGACACGGAGCCCACCAGTTCACGAAAGGTGAGTGCAGCACAGCAAAGACCCCCTTTCATATCGGCTTCTGCAGTGTGCCAGGGGCTTCGGAGCAGCAATGGGCAAAATGTGTTCTCCTTTCTCTAGGCCGGACTTGCACATCCTCCAGTGTGGAACCCCCAAGATGCAGCTGCCAATGAGAATCACCCAATGCTGCAGCTGCATGCAATCTGCTGGAATCCCTGTTCTGTTGAACACACCTTCAACCTCCATTTTGGAGGGTGGGGCAGGGAGACTCTACCATATAGAGACCAGAGGTGCTACAGCCCAGGGACCTTCATTCTGGAAAAATGCACGCCCTGAACCAGATCCACTGCTGCGTGCTCCCAGTCACAGCTCTTTCTGGCAAGAACTTAACTCTTCAGGAAGTTCTGATGAATGTCATGTGTCAGCCAAAATCATAGTGCCCATTCTATGGAAGCTTCACAGGTATAAATGCGGGGGTTTTGGGAGAAAAATCTGCTAGAGCTGAAGTTCAACACCTGGATACTGGCACCTCTCCCATAGCCCCTCATGCACACATCCATCTGTCCAACACACGCTGGTGAGTTGCTTGTTGCAAGCCAGGCACCAGTGCAAGGTGCAGTTCAGATTGAGCAGCGGCAAGATGCAGCTCTGACTCAGAACCGATGGCAGCTTTTGCCACCCAAGGGCCACAGAGGTGCCAGCGCATGCCGGGGGAACCACCGACGGGATCGTACCTGGCTGATGGTCTTCTCCATTTGTACCAGGCCCAGGTTGGGGAGTGTGTTTTTTATGAAGTCGACTATGGTCTCTAGGTTTTCATGCTGCAGAATCAAGGGCTTGTGGCTTCCCAACAGACTTAGGGCCACTTTGAATATGACCTCTGACCCCTGAAGGAAGATCATATCTGGGAAGACAGAGAAAGGCACAAAGTTAAGCCCCTCCAGCTGCTGGTGAAATGCCGTTTTGTTTTCTTTTCCACTCACCACAGAGTGGGAGGATGGGAAACCAGCCCCAAACTGAAGACTTTATTTCCTTTTTAAGAACTTGATCATTCAGATAGGGTTGTCAAGATGATATGGCTAATAATAAAAATGATAAACACACTGTTTTGATTTGTGTCATCGGTTCAGATAATTTTTTTCCCCACTCTAGTTTTAAAAATCAATTAAATTCAAGCATGACTGAGTTAAAATTGTGAAAATGCTCTAGCAGAATATTTTTCCAGAAATGTTCTGGATTTTAAGGGAGTTGTTGAAATGTGTTTTATAGTGAAAATGAAAGATTTTTGTAATACAGCAGTAGAAATTAAAAGAAAGACTAAGCAAAAATTGCCTGTTTTGAAATAAGGAGGTATAAAAAACTGGAAAATTGTACCAATTGCAAAAGTGTATTATTAAATGCAAGTAAATTGGAGTTTACTGTCATAAAGGAGTGAAAAACTCTTTAAGTTCCAACTAGACACACACACACAAAAACATAGTCAAGGTTACTTTCTAGTTCTTGCTGTGTTCTGTCCTTGGAATGGCTGGCGGATGCTGGTGATTCCTGCACTGATTGTATGCCTTGCACAGCAAGGGCAGGAAGGTGAGAGGCCAGGCCCTAGGATGCATAGCAAGCCCAGCCCTGCTTCTCCCTTCCTCTCCAAGTTGAAGCCACTGGAGACAGCAGTAGGTCATGGGGAGTAACACACAGTTACAGCAAAATGTGACAGTGAGATTTCGAGTAACAGTAATATGAATGAAAATTTACAAATTTAAAGATGGGAGCACAGAAGCACCTGTGGGCACTTCCCTTCTCTGGCCACATGGTGATGAGAGGGACAGAGAAGCTGCAAATGTCATCAGATCAAGAAAAACTGGTGGGAGGACTCCCCCGCAGGACCTCAAGGCTGGGAGGCCATGGGGTGACTGTGGATCTGCAAGGTGCATGGGGGAGAAAGGAGAGGCTGAGGTGCCGGCTGGCCAGTGGAGCCCTGGAACTGCTCTGGGACCCACACAAGACCCTTGGCCAGCTTGCTGAGTTGGTGCCATGTGGGCTGGGCAGGGCTGGGCCAGGCCATTACTAGTTTAGACACAGCCTGCAGCTCCACATGGCTCAGGGGTACCAACTGCTTTGCTTCCTTCTGAGAGGTCGGGTGGATCAGGCCAATTAAGAGAACTGACTGTAGTTTCAGGCTGGGGCTTCTTAGGGAAGTGTGTGTATGTGTCAAGGTCAGCACCAAGGACACACTTTCCTGTGAAATGCCAACTTTCAAAAGATCCAAAACAGAACTGCAACTGAGATGCGTTCTTAAACGGAAAAGACATCCCTCCAGACAAAATGGGAAACCAGAACTTTCAGTGGTTTAGAAGACTTCACACCTGAACAAAAGTAGGTAGCATCTTAGCACCTTTCAGAACACAGAATAAAACTCAAGATTTGATTGAATGACTGAATGACCGACTGACGGATTGCAGGGACCCAAGGGGGAAGGATTTGCCAGCACCGTAGCAGTGCGGTTCTGTGGTGGTGGTACCTTTTGTATCTGAGGAACGAGCACCTTACAAGCAGATGCAGCACAACATCAGCTGACAGACACAACTGGTGGCAAGTCTGTACAGCACACTAAGCCACACCAGCAGTGCCGCAGGGGTCACAGCTGCCCTTCTGACGCTCATCCTTTTAAGGATTTTGGTTTGTACAACCAAAGAGAATGTCCTACGAGGAAAATGGGAGGAAGTGGGAGCTTCGTATGTTTTATAAAGCTCTTTATTGGTCTGATGCATGGTTAAGACACTACTTGGGACAAAGTTCAGAGCGTGAGCTCAACTTCTGATCCAGCTCCCTCTGAACGCACATGCAGGAAGGCAGAGGTGATGGTTCAAGTACTTGAGTCCCCGTCACCCATGTAGGAGATGTGACAGGGTTCCAGGCTCCTGACGTTGGCCTGCTCCAGCCCTGGCAACCACAGACTTTGGGGAGGTGAACCAGGTGTATCTGTGTCTCTTTCAAATAAAATAGAAATAAGCAAAAATTTTAGAAATGAGGCCAAAAAAATAACCCTAGACATGGTTATGATTTTGAAGAGAGGAGTTCTGTTTGCATTCAATGAAATAAAAAAGGAAATGTTCTTTGCTAATGTTCTTCACCACACCTGAAGAGCAGTCTTCTCATGTGCTCGGGTGCTTCTTCCAATTTCATGCAATGACAATTCATTGGGCACCGGAAATATGCTAGGCAATGTTATCAGGCCCTGGGAACTAAGCCACACACAAATCACAAAGGAATGACTCCAGAAGCTAGAAGGAGGGATTTGGTACAGTTACGCCCAGGGTATTAGGAAAGGCAAGAAACACCCAGTGGCCTTGCTCTGGTGTAGGGGTGGGGCCAGCACCCAGTTGGGCATCAGTTTGTGTCCCAGCAGCTCTACTTCCAATCCAGCGCTCTGCTAAGGTGTCTGTGAAAAGCAGGGACCCAGGTACTTGGGTCCCTGCACCCACATGGGAGACGTAGATGAAGCTCCTTGCTTTTGGCTTCAGCCCAGCTCAGCCCGGGCTGTTGCTGTTGCAGCCATTTGGGGAATGAACTGGTGGATGGAAGATCTCTAACTCTGATTTTCAAGTAAATAACTAAATCTTTAAAAAGTATGACCCAAATTCAAAACATTGCCCCATGCAATTATCTTTACCCTTCCTTCCAACCCTTATGTGTTGGTTTGCATTTTGGAATGAGAGACCACCCTCCAGGGGAAGGTGATCAAGGTCTTGGCCTCTGGAAAGCAGGTGCAAAAGTGACTGCTGAGATTGGCCAGAGGAGCTGCAGCCATGGTGGCCTTGCCTACAACCCTGCAGCTTACTGCCTTTGCATAGAATTTTCTTCCTGCCTTTGGTCCTTCTTCTATTTTTTGTTTTTTGTTTTTTTTTTTTCTTTCAAGTCACTTAGAGCAAGCAAGAATTTTAGCAGGCAGGAAGTGGAGGAAAGCTGAAACTCAGTGGCAGACTCCTTTACTTTGCACGGGACTTGCTGACAAGGCAGCCACCTGTTGCTCCAGCAGCCCTGGTACTGTGTCTTGGCTGGGGGACTACATCTGAAGCCCTCCGTGGTGGGAAAGCCACTCTTCCTGGGCCCCTACATTATACCACTATCATTACTGAGGGTGAACCCTCTTAACCTTCCTGGGGTGCACAGCCCTCCAGCTGTGGGCCCCACACACTCCTGTGGGGAGCAAGAAAGGCGCATGAGAGGTCAAAATGGTCGTATAGACAGATGCTGTAAAAACTCCCTTCGCCACATTCTCAGGGCACACAGGACATTTTCCTGATCGGGTACACAATCCTGTTTGCCCAGGACTATTTCTGTCTTGAAGTTTCTCAGAGGTCTTCCCGGTGCAGTAGGCGGCTCTGTGCTGTTTGCCAAACCCTTGGTTTTCATGTCCAAGCTCTTCTCTCATTGCTTGGCAGCACTTTGGACAGAAAAACATCAGGAGCCTTACACCCCAGGAGCCTCCTCCTCCACCAGGAGTGAGTCACCAGGCAGAGGTGATCAGATGGAAAAAGCATCCCTCCTGACACCCTGCTACACCCAACTAGAAAGCCACGGGAGAGGGTGATCTCTCATCCTGCGGCAGCATACAGAAGGACTGAGGTGTGTGTGCAAGGCGTGATCACCACGAGAAAGCACCAGGCGCATCCATCGCTGGCCTCCTTCCCAGCTTAATCTTGAGTCTAGGTAATCTATGAGCTGTGCTGAGGCCAGCTGATAAATCTACTTATACTTAAGATAGTGATGAGTCAACAAAAGCCCATTTGTTTCTAGGGCTTACCCAGGCTACAAGGATTACAATAAAATAGGGTAAGATGACAAGAGGACTTCAGAAGTTAAAACTGAAAAGCCTACCATCATGTAGCAAAACACAGGCAGGTCTGTCCAACACAAGTGCTAAATATAGAAATAGATTTTAAAGACCTATCTTTTCTGTGCAACCTACTAAACTTGTTTTGAAGTGCTGAAGGGTAGGGCAGATAGTGCAAAAACAACCAGAGGTCTGTGCAGTGACCTCACACCACAGTGCTGCCCTGAGTTCCCACTTCCTGCCTGTAACCCCCCGGAGCCCAGGCCTGCCTGACAGGAACCCCCTCGGCACACCTGCAGGATCCAAGCATTCCACAGACAACAGATCTTCATGTATAATGTACACAGAATTCCAGGACACACCACTGTCTGTATCACAAGGAACAAGGATTTTGCTTCTACTGGTGTCAGCTCTTGCTAATGCACTCATCGGAACAGGAACAGGCTCTATGGTGATCCCCATCACTCAGCCAGGCAGGGACTGAGGGGCCCAGGGGTTAACACGTTGTTTGGGATGTTCACTGCTGTTCCATATCCCAGGGCCCTTTCGAGTCCCTGCTACTCTGCTTCTGGTGCACATTCCTACTAATGTGTCTGGGAGGCAGCAGGTGATGGCTCAAGAACTCGGACTTCCGCTCTTTACTGGGAGACCCAGATGCTGTTTCCGGCTCCTGGCTTTGGTGAGGGCTAGACCTGCCTCATGTGGGCTTCTGGGGAGAGAACCCACGGGCAGAAGATCTCTCTCTCTCTCTCTCTCTCTGGTCACCCTATGTTTCAAAGAAATAAATCTGTTGTTTCCAAAGCAGAGTTTGCTTTTAAAAATGTCTTTCACCCACCCACACAGCAGAAGCAAGCAGCCGCCCCAGAACCTCAGGCAGCAGCTTTGGTGGCCCAGGGGAGTGACAATGTAGGTGGCTTGTTAGTATTTTCTCCCCAAACCCTCAGCTGGAGGCTAGGGCTGTTTGCAAATCTGCCAACCGATGGCACTGCCTCCCCAGCCTTCCATCCTCACTCTGCACCCTTTACCTAACGCATCACACACATCGTTAAACAATTAGGGACAAAGTGAGTAAGGTGGGCAAATGATTTTTGTTTAATTTCCATAAGAAAAACAAAACAAATTACTGGCAAGATTAACATCTGTGACTCAAGGTCTTAAGTTTTCTGTTACTTATTCTGATGCTTTTACTGATCTCTTTCTTAGAATTAGGGTATAAACGTTCATGAAATCTCACCAATAATTTATTTAACCAAGAGACATTTTTATTTTTGTTTTAAAAATTTTATGTATTTTACTTGAAATGCAGACACACACAAGCAAAGAGAGCTCCCATCTGCTGATTTACTTCCCCAAGTGCCCTCAGGAGCTGGGGCTGGGCTGGACCCAAGCCAGGAACCTGGGCCCCAGCTCAGGTCTCCCACGTGCGCCGCACAGATCCCAGTGCCCGAGGTATCTCCTGCTGCCTCCCCCGGTGCACATCAGCAAGAAACTGGAATAAAAATCTAGCCAGGCGTCCAACTCAGGCATTCTAATACTGGATGTGGGGGTGTCCCAAGTGGTTTCTTAACTGCCATGTCCAACTCCCTCCTTGGAAACAGCTTCTAGTTTTTATTTTAGTGATTTCCGCCCGTACCCCCACTTTAGGGCCATGAAGTAAGAATACATTTGAGGAGATGCTTATGCAAAAGGAAGCAGTTATATGTAAGTTACATTTTACAAACATGAATTCTTCTAGTAAATCCAAATTCTTGAAAGGTTTCTGTGGATGAATGTGAACAACAATAAAATCTAGCAGCCATTGTGGTGCACTCACACCGATATGGAGCACAACTTTGACTTCCAGGTGTTCTGCTTCTGATCAAGTTCACTGCTAATGGGCCTGGGCGCAGCAAAGGACAGGCCAAGTACTTGGGCTCCTGCCACCCAAATGGACAAGGTCCCTGGCTCCTGCTTCAGCCTGGCTCACCCCAGGCTGTGTGGTCACCTGGCAGATGAACAAGTGGATGGAAAAAAAATCTCTGCCTGTCTCACCTCTGTCCCTCTGCCTTTGAAATAAATAACTATTTTAATGTAGCAGCAGAGCAGCTGGCACTCAAGCTGTCGCTCTGACAAGGGATGCTGGCTACGCCAGTGGCAGCTTAGCTTTTTAAGTCACAACATGGCCTCTACTGTAATCCTTACATTTTGAAGCAGGGAAAAGAAACTGAGAAGCTAGCTACCCTGCACGTGGTATTCCGAGGTTCCCTAAGCAGGAGCACAGCCCCAACCCTGCTATGGCAGGGCAGTTCACTGAGTCTGCGCATGGGTACTGTCAGAGTATGGACAGAGCCGACGTTCTTAGAAAGCCAACCAGCAAGACAGAGCCAGGAAGGGTGGGGGAGAAGGGCAGGTATGATCAGAGCCATGGTGAACTGTCAGGCACTCAGTCAAGGCCAGAGGCTGAGTGACCTGAGTCATGGGGAGAAAGCACCTGGGGTCCCTTGGCTGCTCCTTCTGCCACCTGCCCTGGGGTGACCTTGTCGTGGATGGAACCTGACCCACAGTTGACAGGATGAAAGCCTCCACAGAAGCCCTGGGACTGTTTTGAGGTCAGCAATAGTTGCAAGTCACAGAGTCCACCCTCGGCAGCACTTAGCCAAGCAGCAGCACCCCATGCTGGCATCAGACACAGGGACACCAGCAATCAGAGTCAGCGCGGGTCACGGTGGGGGCTTATCTGATGTGGAACCCACCTGATGGTGGGCTCTGGCAAACACAGTACAAAGAAATGCTCACCGAAGACTCTGGCAACAAATCCCAGTGGGAACTGTGAGGCAAACACGGTGAGGAACCAGGGCGCGGCGTAGAGGCTGGGACCAATCTCATGCTCCTCCAGGTGATTGTACAGGTCTCGGTGGTAGTCGTGGAGTAGCCGTGAGAGCTGGTACATCTGGATCTGCGGAGACAGACACCCACGGGGCTGAGAAGTCCACACCTGTCACAGGGCCACGCTGTTCCCCAGGATGTGCAACCACCACGGCTCTAAACATCACATGAAACCCACTGCCAGAACTCCTGATTCACCTGATTTGGGCACAGCCCAAGTGGGAGAAGTGTGCTTTCCTCAGGATTAGAACACTTGAGGTAGGGCTGAGTATCCCTCAATTAATGGGATGCTCAGAAAGCTTCCGAGTTTGGAGTACTTCAGAGTTCTAGATGGGGGATGCTCCACTGGAAAAACCGATGTGAATATGAAACACTCAGACATTCGGATATCTGGAATGTTTCTTGCTTCTGTTTCAGATGAGGGCTGTCCAACTTGTATATGGATCCTGGGCAACTTGAGGAAACTTACGATGGAGCAAACAGCTTTTCCAACTCCAGCTCAACTCCTACTGCAAGGGCTGCTTCTCGAGAGGATGACAAGGTGCTGGCAAGAAGCTCACTCCTGTCCCTGGTGGCCCCACAATGAGTCCCATGGCTTGCAGAAGCCCAAGGTGCCCAGACTGAGCCTGAACCAATCACCCACAGAACGTCAGAATCCCACTGGGATGCCACAAGCTGGCTATGTCCTGCACAAACTGTGACAAAAGTCCAAACAGTTCTTAGAGATTCAGACAAGGCAATCCTCCCGCGGCTTTTCCGTATCTAAGAGTCTCATCAGCCAAGGCCATGACACTGAGTCCTGCAGCTGACCAAAGGACACAAAACTCAGAAGTTGTGCTCCCTGCTGACAGCTACAGGGGCTGAAGCCCAGGGAGGGAGTGTGGGAGGAACCTAACAGGGTTAGATGAGGACAGGAAGTGCCCTGAATGGGGTGGGGTGGCTCCCAGTAAGAGACTGATGTTCAGAGGGTCGCTGTGCTAGGATGGAGATTGGGGGGCTTCAGTCACAGAGTTTGCTGCTCCCCAACTGAGTGTGCAAGCTTCCCAAGGCCCCCTGCCTACCTGCAAGGTTCCTAAAAAAACAGAATTCTGCTAGTTCAACAACACAGAAACATGGGTCCCAGCATCGCAAGCAGCATTTAGGAGCACTGCTGGCACCCAGAGCCCTCCCCACCTGACGGTCATGAGCAGCCACATTTGGCCTTCCAGGACACATTGCTGTGCCTGGTGTCTAACAAGAGACTCATTCATTCACAAAACATGCTCATTTATCACCCAACAATGGTTCCACATTCTGGAAAGCATGCCATGAAATCATCGTGCAATCATAGGGTGTACTTACCTACATTCACAATGTCACTAGGTGACATAATCTTATGGGACCACTAAGTGGACCCTGACGAACGTGTGTCATTATGAGCTGTATGCCTATCTGGGCTGGGTGCACACCTCATCCCGTCACTGTGCTGGAAAATCTAGCAATACGGCTCCAAGACCATTAAGCTCCCTCTCACAAAGCTTACATGCTAAAGGGTAAAGGAGTAACAAAAAAGGTAAATCCTGACAGTAAGTCTGCTGAGTCAAAGGAAAGAGACAGGATAACGTGACATGCTGCACCTGAGGTGGGAGAAGAGGATAGGACAGGCCAACAGGATGAGCTTCTCCCAGGCTAGCACACTGGATCTGACTCCTGGAAGGCAATAGGTGCAGAGGAAGCAACAGGGAGGCTGGTGAACAGATCACCTGGCCGTTACACAGGAAGGTGCCCACAGGGAGTCAACAGGTTGGGGCTTACACTTGCTTGCTGTGTGACCTGCCTGATGACCTACCTTTCTGGGTCTTAAGGTTTCCCACCTACACAGTGAGCCAGCAAATGGTGCCTTCCTGTGAGTTATTACAAAGGCAAACACATGCGACACGGGGGCAGGACCTAGCCCAGAGTCAGCACTTGGCAACAACAGTGCTGTAGCAGTACTGATGGTGGAATATTCCTCAGGTGCACCTGCACCTCTGTTTCTAGGGAGGACATAAGCGAGGCTCCTTACCTGTAAGATAATCATGTCCGGCCGATACTGTTTCCGCAGGCCCATGTCAAACATTAGAAACTTGAGCATTCGAAATGCTTCTTCCTCGCTCATATGCAGCAGCAAGATGCCTGCTACAAAGCTGAGACCCTGGCAGTACCCCACTTCCTGGTCCAGAAGTGAGTAGGCCTTCAAAATGTTGTAGAGCGACAGCTGGCCGGCTCCAAGCTGGGCAGAGAAGTAGGGATGTGTTGGAAAGGTTCGTCCTGTGAAAGGGACACACGCTGGCTGTGATTAAGAGCAAAGAAAGCCTACTTAGTCGAGCCAGAAATCTGCCATCCTGCAGGTGAGAAAACCTTCAGAAGCTGGAGCACAGCATAAATCCACTTCCACACCACCCTGCTCAGCACACGAGGCTGACCAGCTGCAGTGAGGATGGGCACTCACTTCTGCTCAGTGTGTGGGTGGGCACAGGGCTTTGGGGGAAGGAGCCAGAGCTGCCGCTGCACCTGAACATCCATCCATGCACAAACACCAGTCTCTGGGGGTGAGCAGCTGCTGGCTTCTCTGCAGATCAGCCGCCTCTTCCGGAGAGGGCAGAAGGCACACTGCACAGGCGGCTGCACAGGTGGCGGCACCAGCACAACACCTGATGTGGATGGCTGCCACGACGGTTCTGCTGTCCCAGGCACCACTCTGTAGGTCCACCACATGATTTTACCCACCACACCCCAACCAAGACAGAAAAAGAAAAAAAAGAGAAGGCATGCATGTAACACATGCACACTATATATGCAAAAATGTCAGCTCGAGGAACTGCCTTGCCGAACTACCATTCTGTTAGCTACAATGTGCCACAGGAGCCTGAAAATCTCTGATAGACTTCCACAGGCTAAAAAACCCACACATCCCAGCAACTGATTTTCACCATTTGTGGAATTCATAAACAGGAAAACAGAAAGCTGATATGAATTCCAAGCGGCAACAAAATAAAACCATTACAAAAATATAAATAAAAAAACAAAACCATTACAGAAACCAGAGCTTCCAAAATACCTGCACAGCCTAAACTTTCAGATCTTTGATTACTACTCAGATGGGCTGTGTGTGCAATGTGGCAGTTGAAGCATGTATTCTGCACAGACCTAAGCTCAGTATGGCTTCCAGCGAGCTGCAGGGCCCTCCCCAGTGCCCAGAGGGCTGGTGCTCAGGTGTGGGCTCCCAAGGCCGTGAGCCAGCACGCAAACAGCCCTAAGTCTGTCTGGGCTTCAGCCCCTGGTTAACAGGCAGTGAGAGTGTACGGCAGACGATGTCTTCCATGCGGCTGGACTGGGGAAGGCACTCCTCCCGGCTCACGCTCTGCCAGGTGCATGGTTCTCATCAGGTCCAACAGTGTCGGGCCGTCTCTGAGTCCCTTTTAGGGGCGCATGGGGGCCTGTCGTTTTCTTTATGTTAGAGGGTACTTCCAAAACTTCAGGAGAAAATGAAACTAAAATATGAGAAGTTTGAGTATAAAAATTTTTTAAACCATTTACTCTTTTTCATAATACACATTTCTGTGAACTTTCTAAAGACCTCTCATAGGTAAAGATTTCAAAACTTTTTGTACAAAGGTAGGTACCTTACCATTGTACTTTCTCACCAACTTTCTGAAAACATAACCACAAAGACTGAAGAGAAGATGATAAACCAAATGATTGTATTAAATCAAACATTAAAGATTTTTAAAATTTGAGGAAATGTAAGACAATACTACTCTTCTAATTTTAATTTTGCAAAGCTGTGATTTTTATTAATTTTAGCAAATTACAGCTATTGTAAATAAATATGTAAGAATTTTTAAATGTTCTTCTTTTAATTTATTACACCGAAGCTCTTTGCGATATTCATGAATTTTAAGAGTAGAAGGGATCCTGACATCAAAAGAGTGGGAACCGCCGCTGTAGGCTAATCAGTCACCCAGTTCCAAGTACACACCAAGCAGGCCACATTGGGCTCGTTGGGCACACCCATCCCAGGTTATTCCACTCCCAGGGAATGCTGTGTCAGCATTAGTCCAAGTATGGTGGCCTCCCTAGGCGCTTTCTGCAAGCTCCTCAAAAGGGATTCCATGGGGTCCCCTCCCACACACCACCTGACCACAGCGCCCACCTGACTTGAGCTGACGTGAGGCCTCCTCGTCTGTTTCATTGACCAAGTTGCAGCTACTGCACGAGGGCCAGCTGTGCCCTGCAAAGCTGTTTTAGCTGTGAGGAGCTGACAGGTCCCTGCCTTCTCGTTTTCCCCAGGAATGGAGAGACACCTGCACCTGCCCACGGTGCTAGTGGCAAACTAGCTCCCACCCTGGCCTTCTAACTCCCAGGCCCTAGGTCCCCCTTTACTGACTGACCCCAAGATTCCTTCCTGAATGAAGATTGGGACCCTCCACCTCTCAAGATGCTGTGCTCAGAACTGAGCAGGATCTAAAAACAGGAAGAGGCTCCTTGAAGAGTAAAAACAGGCAGCCTTTTTCATTCCTGAGAACTGCACACAGCGTGGTCATCCGCTGCCTTGTGTTTCTCCCCACCAGAAGGGGGCCTTCCTGAAGGTCGGAATGCTCCTCAAGAGCATTCTGTGGAATCAGCGCTGATGGGCATGGTCAGGAGGTTCAGGAGAGGGAGCTCTGCCAGGCCTGTTAGGCCCAGGAACCCTTGCCTGTGTCCAGCACCCGCTGCACACACTCCTTTCCCGCTGCACCATCAGGGACATAGGTTGGCTGGCAGTGTCAGCCCAGCCATAGGAGTGCTTACACCACTTAAAGCTGTGAACACTGCTCGCTGCGGCCTCTTGGAAGGGTTGGGAAGAGGCCGCTGTGGGTCAGCCACCAGCATACCACTGGATTAGGGTTTCTGTTCCTGCATACACTAGGTGGGTTGCTGTGCACTCTTGGTGAATTGCATCAAATAGAAGCACAAAGGAACGCACCAGCTCCGCTGCCCAATTCTTCCTGCAGCAGGGGCTACTGGCACTGAGTCCCAGTGAAGGGAAACCCATTTCATACAGCCCATCCTCCCAGCTGAGGGGAGAGAAGCAGGGGGAACTGCCTGTCCTAATGCCCTCTCAGCCTGCAGGCCATCCTCCAGCTCTCACATCATTGCCCAGGACAAGAATGCACTGTTGTCTTCTCTGGTACTTATCACACTAGGCAATACCTCTATGGCCAACTGATGAAACAGCTTTCTTGGAGAGCAGCAGGGCAGCTGGGCACCAGCACCATGGAAGGTACCCTGATCTGTGAGCCCCAGCCAGGTCTTGCCAGTCATTCCTTCCCACAGTGACACGGGACTCCTAAGCTTGGAGGGTGGGAGCAGCTGGCATGGGTCTTGGCTGACTGAACCTCTCTGTGTCTCAGGGTCTTTGTTTCTGAGAGAAGGTGCAGGGCCCATTTCCCAGGGCTGCTGGGAGGGCTGCCTGAGATGGGGGTGTCATGCTGTTCTTCCCATTCCACTTTGTCCCTTGCTCAGCAGCAAGCTAACTGCATCACTCTGAACGACTCACTCAACCTTTCTGTGCTTCAGTTTTTCTCAGCCTATGAACAGGGATGGGAGTGGTTCCTGGAACTACACAAAACCTTGGTTCCAGACACCTGCTGTTTTCCAGAACATTCCTTTGGCTGACGTCACAGTCTCCCCAAGACCTGTACATGGCTAAGCTGAGCCCCAGCTGTAACTACAGCTTTGATGACTGGCCTCTCCATGCCAAGTGGGGATAATAGGCTACGTCCACAACACAGTTTTATGCACCTGAAGGAGCCATCTGGGATTATTCCAAGGTTGCTGAAACGAAAAACCAGCAGCCAGAGAACTCCACATCTCAGACGACCTCCCCATGCTTTCCCAGGGAGAGAAATCTCCATTTTCTTTGTATGATGTGCAGCCTTACCGAGGTCAATGAGGATGGCGTGCTGCTGGGACGTCAGCTGCTTTAGGAGTTCTTTGTATGGCACATCCCTGGGCTGCTGTTTGCTGGGGAACGGATGCTTCAGGTGGAACTGCTCTGCCAGAAATTTCCAGATTTCACCCCGATGATGACGTGGGACACCTTTAAACAGAGGAACAGGAAATTCAGAAGGTGCCAAACACAACTTAATCAGTTCAGTCCATTGGTCAGAATCCTTGTTCATCATCTATGAACAGCACAGGAGCGTTAGGGAAGTAACCAAAGGTCAGCCTCCTCGCCGACCCATAGGGGTCCCCCTTCCATTCTCCTCCAGCCCCTTGCCTGTCCTCTCACCTCTAGAATATGTACTCTATTCCCACTCAGCCACTCTCTGCAAAGCAGAAACTGATAAAAACGGCAGGCACCCCCTAGCCAGTGCCAGTTAATAGCAACCCAGAGAATTCAGACCCAAACAGGTAAAAACTACAATGCAAACATGGTCTCACCAGAGGGACAGGAGAAGAGAAAGGAAGAGCTCAGCCAGAGGCCAGTGGGTCTGCTTCTAAGCGAGCAATCAGGCTTGCGTGGAACCCTCTGCTTGAGCCAAGCCTTAAAGATGCGGGAAAGCAATTGAACAAAGGGACCAGTCAGGCAAACAAACTCAGAAATGAGCCTGCCATTGCCTACCAGGTACAAGAGTGCCTACAGGGAAGGGCAGCTGGCAGCCTGGCCAGGAGAGTCAGTGAAAGGTTAAATCCAATGCAATTTAGTTAAAAATAAAATTAAAAATTTCAAACGTAAATATGACAACAAACAAAAAGCTAAAGCTCCAGGGAACCACTGGATATTTTTCCATTGCTGGAGGTGGGGTTAGGAGTGTAGGTTAGCAGCCTAAGAGCAGCCGAGCTCCAGGTTCCCAGCATAGGGATAGAGGTTCAACGTTCATCGTGTTGGAATCACCCCATAAGGCTGCTACTCAGATGGGTGCTAGCGGAGGTGACTGAAATGACCATGTGTGGGTTTGCATTGAGGAGTAACTGAGTTCATTTATTGACAGATCCACAAACTTTTGACAAAATACCCTGTTGCCTCTCAGAGATTCTTAAGGTATAGAAAGTATGTCTGTTGTCTACAGACTGTGGGAGAAAAACAGGGCCAGTATTAGTCATGACCACAGCCTGTAAAGTTTCTATGTGCTTATCCCAGCATTCTCCTACCATCCTGTGCAGTGAGCTAAACAGTGTGCCCTCCTAAGACAGGACCATTTCCCAATTCTTGGGACCTGTGACTGTCACATAACTTGAGAACAGGGTCTCTACAGATATAACAATACTCTTATATTAAAAAACAAACAAACAAAAAAACAAAACAAAACCAGAGAGACCAGCACAATGGTACAATTGCCTAATCCTCCACCTGAAAGCACCAGGATCCCAGATGAGTACTTGTTCGTGTCCTGGCTATTCCACTTCACATCCAGTGCCCTATTTATGGCCTGGAAAAGCAGAGAAGAATGGCCCAAAGCCTTGGGACCCTGTACCCATTTGTGAGACCCAGAGGAAACTCATGACTCCTGGCTTCAGATCGGCTCAGCTTTGGCGGTTGTGGCCACTCGGAGAGTGAACCAGCAGGCACAAGATCTTCTGTCTCACTTTCTCTTTGTAAATCTGCCTTTCCAATAAAAATAAATAAATCTTAGAAAGGAAGGAATGGAAGGAAGGAGGGGGAAAAAGAGAGAGAAAGATTGATCAATCGATCCAGAAAAGAGCAGCCACGGGGGCAGAGATGGAGGGATTCTGACGGTGTCACAGAACGCTGGCAGCCCGCAGAAACCAGAAGAGGCCAGCACAGCCATGCTGACGCCTTGACTTTGGGTCAGAACTGCAAGAGTGAAATTTCTGTCGTTCTAGCCACCAGTTTAGGAGTAATTTGCTACGGTAGCAATAGGGAACTAGTACTCCTTGATATTTGATTTTTGTTTGTTCATTTAGCTGTTCCTTTGAAAGATAGACTGACACACACACACACACACACACACACACACACACACACACACACACACACACACACACACAGGCCCAACAGGCCAGGGCCAGACTGAAAACAGGAATTTGTAGCTCCTACTTTCCCATGTGGGCAGCAGGAGCCCAAGCTCGTCTTTCTGGGTGCATCAGCAGGGAGCAGACTGGAAGCCGAGTCGCAGCTGAGCATATGCGAGGCTGGTTTCACAGGAGGCAACTTAACCCACTGCCCCACAATGCCTGCCCTTAATTTTTGCCTTTCTGTTATATCTTTCGTACTCTTCCACCACAGGGATATATCTTGGGTTCATACACACACACATGCACGTGAACACAAATCCCTAATACTTTAATTCCTGTTGAGAAATGAATGTCATCTGGAAAACAACACTGTTAGTGATTTATAGTGGGGCTTTTTCATGAAGTAGTTTCTCTTTCAAACTGGAAAATTTTCCCAAGATATGATATGTCCAGTTTCCTCTTGATTAATAAATCATTCCTATTATCTTATCAGACTTCTTTTTGGAAAAAAAGAACTTTGGCAGTGTCACTGGACAGCACTATGTAGTCTGGTATTCAAGCGCAAGCTCAGACTCTGTGATACAAAGTAAAGGGCCATGTAGACAGGATCTGGTGTTTTTGCTGGGAATGACTAGCACATGCTTTGGCCTTTGCTCCTAACCCAGGAGAGGCACTGGAGGTGCAGTCCATGCACAGCCTGTAGGCAAACCCAAGAGCAGGAATGAAAGTGGACTGGCTGCAGACAGGGTCCCAGGTGGGCAGGGAGCCGTACTGCTTGCAAACACTGCTTTCCATCATTACTTATTTGGAACATAAGATATAATCACATTTAAAAGAAAACAGAAGTTTTTGAAAGTGCCAATGGTATAGAAAGAAATTGAAAAAGAAAAAAAGCCATAATCAGATTGCACACACAGTTTCCCATCCAAAGGCAGAAACTGTTCAAAGTGCAGGGGAGGAAGGTGATGGATGATTTTAACAGGACAACAATCCTCCCTAAGGCCAGGCCAGGTGAGCCAGGCACTACGGCAGCCTGCCCAGAACCTGGACATCTGTGAAATGCATCCTGGGTGAGTTTTTCAAATGCCTTGAAAGGTCAAAAGCAAAGGTTTTCTTCAATCTCACTTTTAAAATGGTGAGTCACTAATCAGACAATGACAGTCATTTGCTTGGCATCGAGAAATCTGTGTGTTGAAAGCAGCTTAGAGGAGAGTAAAGCGATCTGGCCAAGTTGGGGAGTCGGGGATATTCCTACTTGGCCGCAGTCCACCCCAGTCTATAAACTGTCCTGTCATCCACGCTCAGTGTCACCACCCAGGGTCTAGATTCCTCGGACGCTCTCATCAGTCCCCCGTACGGAGTGCACAACAGCAGCACAAACACACAGCTGCCAGCTGCCAGCCTTCTAAGAAGCTCAGACACCTGCACCAGCTGTCTTCTGTAAAAGAAGCAAACCCAAGGAATACTGCCATACTGTCAACCGGGACAAAGGAAGAAAAGCCACATCATTTTCTCCGCTTCTTCCTTTTTCCAAACTGTAATCTGGGACCATGTAGCAGTAGCACAAGGTTGCAACTGCTACCAGTGCAGGCAACAGGCAGATGGCTCTACAATCCTCTGTGACAGCCACACCTCTCCTTCACCAGGCAGCAGGGAAGGGCTCAGAAAGGCAAGGAGGGCTGCCGGAGGGCATGTGGGAAGCAGTTGTCGGTTTTGACCCTGAAGTCTTCATCGCTACACGTGTGTCTGGTTTCTGAGAACAGTACTGGCAGGCTACGATCCAAGTGGAGGCAGTGCAGTGTGGTGGGTAGAACCTCAGCAAGGGGAACTGTGAGCCCAGCTCTATTGCCTGAGCCACTTCCAGTTGCTCTGTGTCCTTATCCATAGAAGGGGCAAAGTCATGACCAGCAATGACCGGCTATTGTTACTAAAATTGATGCTATCAAAATATGGGGAAAAGTTAAAAAAAAAAAGAAAGAAAAGCCCATAGGACTATAGTAGAAAAAACTTCTTCGTTAACTCTCTCAGAAAATGGTGCATACGTAACATGCACAAAGGAGAGCTGGCCACGAAAATTAGAACCGGGATTTTTTTTAATTCCACAGTTCTATCTAACGACCAATGAAGGGGGACGCTGATCAGGCGATTCCTAACAAGACTCACCTTGCCCGACAGCCGAGTGCATTTTGTCCATGTCAAACTTGATCTTTGCCCGGCCCGGAGTGCTGAGCATCTTTTCCCACACTGCAGTCACCTCTTTAAGACAAGGAGTGATTTCTTCATAATCGAGCTTCAGGCGCTTGTTGAGCAGATCGTTTTCGGAGGCTGGAATGGATCAGGGAAGAGCAGGTTAGCCAACGCCACACCTGCCCATCTCTCAGTACACAGCATGGCTGCCTGTTTGCCATGGCATGAAGACATGCAGTGCCCCCTGCCAGCCTAATAGGCTCACGGTGAAGTTGCTGTTGCCATTGAACCCCATTTCCCTTGTCTTGGAAAATTCCCGAAGCCTTGGAGGTACCCCTGATTCCTCTCGCCCTTTATCCCAAGTGTCCCGTTGGCTGTACCGCTAAGATGTATCCCACTTCGGCCCTATTGTGTCCATCTCCACAGTGGCCCTATTAAATGATGAGCATCTCAGCTTTGTGTGAAAATGCCCTGGCTTCATCCAGTCTTTTTGTTTAAAGGCGAGGTGTTCTGAGGCTGGGTCCTCTATTTTGAGACAAATTTCCTTTTGAAAGTTTCCACCCTTGCTCCTGCTTCTGCCTGCTGGAGGCAAAGAGGATGACTCCACCCCTGCAGCTGACGGTTCCTCAAGTATGCGTGGCTGTGGTGTTGCACAGCTGTACTCAATCCAATGCTCCAGAAGGATGCAGAGACCTGCGGCAGTGAACTGCGGGAAGGGCTGCAGATGGGGAAACCTTCAAGGGATTCCCTGGTCCGTCCTCTTAGACAGACATAGAAACTGAGGCTCAGAGACGTAGGCCCTTTGCCCAGGACTGCACAGCAGTTAGCAGGCAGCCAATTCCACGGGCTCAAGTGATGCCTCCCCCTCAACGTCACAGCTTTTCCTCCACCATCTTCACAAGTCTTTTTCCTTTGACTTTGAAGAATATGTTTTTCAAAGTCTTGGTAAATGATTCTCTACAAGGAAGATTTTATGCCTTAAATTCAAGAAAAAAAAAAAAAACTCTACTAATTTTGTTTGGCAGTGGCAAGCAAGGAAAACACAAAATTCATGTCACTAGAGTTAAGCTAATGCATACAGCGAGTTGAGTTTGGAACCAGCCTTGCCTGGAAAAGTGCCTGGAACAGCCCTGGGCTCTCAGCGTCAATATACGTTTCTGCGGCAGGGAAGTCTGCAGGGAGCATATCTGACTATCGAAACACAGCCTGGGCAGGCAGCAGGAGGAATTTGCTTTGAAGTCAACAGCACTTCACACGTCTGCAAAGACTTAATCCATGTAGTCTGCTGTTGGCCCACGCCAACATCCCACTGTTCGGAAACCTGACAACCCTGCTGCCTGGAATCAGTGGCCTTCCACATGGCTTATCAGCCAAGGCAGATGGTGCAAACCTGTAACGAACGCCAAGGCCATGCCAAGGCAGGGATTTCAGAAAAAGAAGCCAACTGTTTAAAAATGTGAAACAGCAGCGCACACACTCATGCTGTTTGTGAGCTGACTAGGCTGAATTAGACAACACTGAGACAACTGTGCCACCACACTGTCTACAACCTTATCATGTAATTTAGATGTCTGAGCTAACTTGGACTTTGTGACACTCGGGCCTGATATGGGCGCACTGTGTGAGGAGGGCTGCTGTTGCTCTACCTCAGTTCTGCTCTTCAACAACTGCTTTCACAGACAAAACTCTCCTGCCAAGTGCCATCCCCTCTTAGGAAGCAAACGAAGGGCCAGCACTGTCACATCAGCATCCCACTCGGTGAGATTAACGCAGCATCCAGCAAGGTGTTCTGGAGAACCCATCATCTCATCCTCTTCATCCTAGTCTGTCTGCTCATCTTCTGCACAGTAGCAGTATGTGGCTTTTGCAGCTTACTGATCCTGCCTGATCAGCACCAGCTGTGAGTGTCCCTCTGGCTTTACAGTGATGCCCTCATTCTTTTTTTTTTTTTTTAAGATTTATTTATTTATTGGAAAGTCAGATATACAGAGAGAAAGATCTTCTGTCTGATGATTCACTCCCCAAGTGAACGCAACAGCTGATGCTATGCTGATCCGAACCCAGGAGCCAGGAACTTCCTCCAGATCTCCCACACAGGTGCAGGGTCCCAAGGCTTTGGGCTGTCCTTGACTGCTTTCCCAGGCCACAAGCAGGGAGCTGGATGGGAAGTGGAGCTGCCGGGATTAGAACTGGCGCCCATATGGGATCCCGGGGTGTTCAAGGCGAGGACTTTAGCCGCTAGGCCACGCCGCCGGGCCCGATGCCCTCATTTTTACCAGCTTATCATTTGCCAGAATGCTGGCCAGCAGATACATTAAGCATGATGACCTACACCAGCAATCTATGATTCAACGGTTCCAACACACACATGACTGTAAATCCTGGCTCTAAAGCTGTCACGTAGCTCATGACATGCCCAGTGATGTCATCACTATTAAACACCTTTTAGATATAGATCTTTGGAACTATCTTCAAGAGTACAAAAGAAAATAACAGAAAAGTGAGCACTCACCTGCTCTAAACTCCCTCCCTCACAGTGCCATAACCTGCTACAGCATCCTGATGGTGTGGCCCATCCCTGTCGCTTTAATACTATATACAGGAAAGCTTGTAACACCCTTAATGCAGTTATTCCAACTGCTGGACTACCTGCATGTTAAAGATGTCACAGGCACAGCGCTGAGGTCCTGGCTCTGCTCCCATCCCAGCATCCTACCAATGTGCACCCCGGAAGGCAGTGGGCAGTAGTTCAAGGAACTGGGCTCCTGTCGCTCATTTGAGAGACTGGGTTCCTGGTGCCTGGCTCTGGCCCAGCCCAGCCTCAGCTGTCGCACACGTTTAGAGACTGAAGCAGTAGGCGAGAAGTTGCTCTTTTTCTCCCTCTCTGCCTCTCAAGTAAAAAATAAGTGATATATTGTAAAAAGGTCATCATATTACTTTACACAGGCCAAATGACCGTCATCTAAGATGCCTGGGCCCAGCAGGGCTTCAGTTTCAATCCTTTGCAGATTTTGGAATATCTGCATAGACTTTACCAATTGAGCATCTCTAATTTAAAAATGTGAGATTTGAAAGATTCCCAAACCTGAGACTTTTCCAGCATTATGTCAGCACTCAACAAATTTCACATTTCAGATGTCTGGATTAGGGATGCTGAACTCGTGCTTCGCTTCCTGCTTCTGGCCCACAACGATGCATCTCTGCTGACTGCTTCTTCCCACTTGATGAACTGATGCCTTTCCCACCTGCAGGCATGCTGGTGCTGGCACTCAGTGCCATCCTAACCCAGGAAAGCTGGGCTTACAGCACAGAGAACATCCACCTTCCATGAGCTGGAGTCAGTGTCTTAATGATTCTTGGCTTCATGCAAACATCAAGGTCACTACCACAAGTGAAAACCTTGCAGACAGTTGAATGAAAGTTCTCTGCTTCCCCAGCTGTCCCGCAGGGACGGCAGTATGCCATTGCCCCTTCCACACCAACCCCTCTGCAAGGCCAGGCAGCTCTCTACACTCTGAGCCCTGAGCCCCTTCCACAGGTATCACAAATTACCCTCGCAGGTTACTCAGGAAGTGGGATTTATTAGTTTAAGGGTCAATATAGAGACAGGAAATGAACACAACCTAGACTTCGATGCCTGTGCCATTTTTTTTTCGTGGTGCTGAATCAGCACCAGCAGAGATGCAACTCACCAGAGTTAGGAACTCAAACAACTTGCACAGGTCAATCGCTACGTCACACCTGACTGAGAAGTAAGAAGAGACAGAGGAAAAAAAAAACAGAAAACAAAACAGAAGCCCTTTACAGAGGCACAGAGCTGAAATTCGAAGTTTGTTTATTTCAGAAGATCTGGCCACTGTGCTAATACAATGACCTCTGTGCTGGAATAAGGAATAGTCAGGGAAACTATGACTACTTCTCCAGAAAGTGAAAAAGGTTAACAGTATTTGTAAAACAAACAGTACAGTCTCACACACATGGTGTGTGTGTGTGTGTGTGTGTGTGTAAAATCACAGACGATTTACACTTGATGTGAATTACCACTTCCCAAGCACAAGCATTCAAGCCCGCCAGGCCCATTCAACAGCACCAGGCCCGAGACCAACCTTGCAGTTTCTGGTTCTCCTTCTCCATCCTCAGGAGCAGGATCTGCTGCAGGATAGCCTTTCGCCACAGCTCTCGAAGCTCCCGTGATGTCCTTTTCTTCTCCTCCGGCACGGGACCAAAGGGCCCATCTTCACAAACAGGCTCTAGGGGAGACCGTGGTGGGAGGTCTCCCAGCTCCGCATAGTCTGGGGAGGGAAAAGGACTTCCTTGAATGGCTGTTTTCCAACAAAGACATCTAGATTCCAACAGCATCAAATCGGTCAACTCTGTCCACACGGTTAATGTAACGAATGCCACCCAATGTAAATTTCACATTTGAAAATGCACTGGAATATGCCATACTCTTGAAACAAAGAGTCTACACAAGTCACAGTAGCTGGGGGAATTTTCAGATACCTACTTTTTAAGGTGTGGTATTTTGTCTTTTGATGAAGTTACTCTAAAAGGGAACCACTGATAAGGGCAAATATTCATCTAGTGTCTGTTAGGCACCAACTTGTTCAAAAGCTGCCTGTGTGACAATGCTCACAACCAGACATGGGTAACTCAGGTGCTCTCTGTGCCACCTCACCAACAGTGTGCCCACCGTGAGCATGGTTCCTGGCACTCAGCAGGGACTGCGCAAAGAGCAGCTGAATAGAGGAACCACTAAACTTAAGCTGGATTACTCAACTGTTTCCTATCATTCCTAAATTTAATTGTTTGTCCAATTAAATTTCAAGGAATATGATGCAAATTATGATTAAAACCAAAGGAGGAAAAATTCTCAGGATCCCCTCCCCCAAAAGCTGTACACTTAGGCATTACTAAATGCAGTAGCTTTAGTTAATCCTTTCATTCAAGAGAAATTTCAGTCCAGATTCTCATTTCATTGTATTCTGCAGCTACAAATCTTCCATTTCGGGTATTTCTTTTTTCATCATCTTGGTATTGAAACCCTATGGAAGCTCTTTGTCTCATAGGGCAGGCATCTGTAATTCTGCCACTTTGTAAGGAATGCTATTTCCCAAGAATAATTCTTGTGGGATGTCCTGGCTGATGTGGCCAACGCTGGCATGGTGGTGAGGATAGCACTTGAACACACTTCTACGTGTATGCCCAGAGGACTGGGATGTGAAGTGTACACAGAGGCACAGCTCCCTAACCAGGATGAAGAACTGGTCTTGACATTGTTTCCTCCATTATTAAAACAGATTTACTTCACCCGAGTGCTTTCCTCTCAGCTCACTCCTTGAGTGTACATCACTTTCAAATTTGGAATCACCATGAACAGCGTAACTCAAGTGGGGACATTGGGACATTCCTAGTACTTCGGACTGTTTTGTCCCCGGGTCCATTTGCTTGCTGCAAATTGCATATCTGACAAGAACTAATGTTTGGGCCCGGCGCGGTGGCGCAGTGGTTAAGGTCCTCGCCTAGCACGCCCGGGATCCCATATGGGCGCCAGTTCTAATCCCAGTGGCCTTGCTTCCCTTCCAGCTCCCTGCCTGTGGCCCGGGAAAGCAGTCGAGGACGGCCCAAGGCCTTGGGACCCTGCACCTGTGTGGGAGACCTGGAAGAGGCTCCTGGCTTCGGATCGGCATAGCATCGGTCGTTGCGCTCACTTGGGGAGTGAATCATTGGACGGAAGATCTTCCTCTATGTCTCTCCTCTCTGTATATCTGCCTTTCCAATAAAAAATAATAAAAATAATAAAAAAAGAACTAATGTTTACAGAAGGCCATACAGTGCTACCTTTTTAGTATTTATTGAAATTACACTGCAATAATGTGTGCATTCCTGGGGCCAGCTTTGTGGTTTAGCCAATCAAGCTACCACCTATGACATCAGCATTTCATATAGTCACTGGTTCGAGTCCCAGTTGCTCCATTTCCGATCCAACTCCCTGTTAATGACTTGGGAAAGCAGTAGAAGATGGTTCCATCACTTGGGCTCCTGCAACCAAGTGGAAGAACTGCGTGAAGTTCCTGGCTTTGGCTTGGTCCAACCCTGGTCATTGTGGCCATTTGTGGGAATGAATCAGTAGATTAAAGATCTTGCTCTCTGCAATTCTTTTAAACAGTTAAATTTTTTCTTTAAAAAAAAGGAATGTGCACTTTTGTTGGTGATGACAGCTATGACAGCTGAGACACAAACCATCTTCCTGAAGGTCTCTGTCATTGCCTTTTTTCTTATCAATCATTAGCTAGAGTTTGTTGAGCTTTTTCCATGCATTAAGTCCTTGACACAGGGAAGCTTGTCTAATCTCCACAGCAAACTCATGGAATAGGTCACAGTACCTTCTCTCACTCTATAGCCAGAATAACAAACGTATCATGAGGTTTTGCAGCTTGGCCAAGTCCACACGGTTAGCAGGAAGCAGAGTGATGACCTGAAGCAAGGTGTATTCTCCTTCCCTGAGAACATGTGAGGCTGGGCTGGGCCTGCACGGTTCAGGCTGCTCTATCCAGATGGGATGTGGCATTCACCATCAGCAACCTCCAATGGGTTCTAAGATTTTAAGTCTGGTCATAATTCAGGGGCCCTACTAAAGAAGTACTCCCTTAAATCATCACTGGGACATCCCCACAGGGTCATAACCAGGGGCTGTGCTGCTGCATCGACATTTCAATAAAACAAGTTTCCCTCTAACAACTCTGGGCTGGACACTGCTGCTGTGTTTTTGCTCTTGGTACCCTGGCAGGTGAAAGGGGATGATACCACATGGCTGGTATGAGCAGGATGATTGCTGTGACAAGCAGGAAAAGCAATGCATACATGGTTCCCTATTTTGTTCCCAGCATGAGTGGCCCTTCTGGTATGTTCTCAGAACACTGACTGCATCCTGAATCGTGGCTCTCTACACTCACAGTCAGGAAGAGAATGGAGGGCTGGCGCCTCACTCCCCAGTTCTGAAGTGTTAGCTGGGTGCTGCCCTGCAACAGGGTACCCAGCAATGCTCTCCAGTCCCCAGAGGTTCTGAAACCTCTGTTTTAACAACACAGGTAAAATTTAGAAATCAGAGTTAAAACTGCAAGGAAATCTCTGCAGAAAAGGTAACCATAGATTAACATCTGCAACCTCTGCTGATTGCGACAGCTGAATAAGTTTCTTAAAAAACAAAAACAAAAAAATCCTGAAAACCAGCTATGACTAAGGCACAGACCCTCTCATTTTAATAGAGCAATTCTGAAAAGCATATGACCACTAGAACTAAAAAAATATCAACAAAGTTTTCTAGAAGTTCAGCAAAGAAAGATGAGAAGGTGGGCTCTGAAGCTGGTTGTTGGGGGGGGGGGAGGGGCGTCAAACCCTGGCTCCAGCAGGAAGCAAGCTCACCTTGTCCCCCAAGCAGGGCACTGGATCCCCTTACAAAACATCTATATTACACTACCTTTATTAGAGAATCATCTGAGCAATAATCCAGCATATATGGCAAAACACCAGTGTGAGCAACCTACCCCCTCTAGTCCCGAGTCTGCTACCTAGTCTGGTACCTTCCTTACTCTCTCCCAAATTAGCCATTTTGGGCGTGGCTTAGAGCTTCCCTGCCAGTGGCCTGAGGCACAGCTTGTGGACCTCTGACATGACTGGAAGGTCAAGGGAAACGGACGTGTCTTCTAGCCAATTACAGTGTCTTTGGTGGGTGGGGGGACTGCCGGAAGATGCCTTCCTGCCCTCCCTTTCTGTAACCTTTAAAAACCTGGAATTTGTGTTGAATAAACAGACATTCCTTACCAGCTTTTTTCCAGTGGTTCTTGTGAACAACACAGTTGCCTCACCATTGGTGACCTTGGGGCCTGCTGGTGGGCTTAAGCCCTGAGACATCAGGCATGGAACATGCTATTACTCAGTAAAATGCAAACTATCCTTGGTTTCTTGGAAACAGGGTGGGGTTTTGAAGGATAAGTAAAATCCAGACAGGTGAAAGGACGTGCACAAACAAGGTATATGGACAGGTGTTTAACTACATGTGATTGCTGGTCATTTAAGGGTAAACCTCCATCTACCATGGGTATCGGCCCATTTTGGCTGATGAGTGGGTGGTGTACTCATGAAAACCAAGAAAAGGAAGACTGAATCCACGCATTGGCTGAAATAAAATTGGGAAACTAGTTGTATAATAAGCATATTACTCGGTCCTGGAAAGATGGCTGGGCCCTTAGGGAGCGCATAACCCGGGGGGCGGGGGGGAAACAACACACAAACAAAAAGCTATTAAAAAAAATGTGCATCAGGACACAGAATAGAGAGCCTAGTCCTGAGGGATGCGGGGCGGACACACAAATTTAACAGAAAGCATCTAAGACACACAGAAACAAGGAGCAGACACCAACCCTGCAGGGCCTTTCCTTACCCTCTCCCAAATTAGCCACTTTGGGTTCCTGTCTGGGGCTGCATGAAGACAGCAAGAGATGAGGAAGCCAAAAGCCCTGAGAAGTCTGGTTAGAGGTCAAGACCATAGTTGGAGCAGTAGCAAGATGGGTGGGGTGGCAGCAAGAGGTGCAGGGGGCCAGGGAGGAGGCCTGCACAAGAGGGGGAGCAGAAGGCCCTCTGGGAGCTCTGCAAGGAGGGGGAGTCCCCTCTGCTGGGAGTGAAGACCCAGGAATTTGGCGTCTCCCCAGTGGTGGCTATGAAAGTTGAGGTCATGAAAGCTGGACAGGACTGACAAAGGCTGTGGACTAAGTGCATTGCATGGGATAACGTTTTCCTTTGAAATAGCATCTATGGCAGCCTCAGCTAAGGAAATGATACTGCACATTTGAATCAGGGCTCTCGTGTCTTAATTAAAGATAATAAAACTCAGGGGACAGTACTGTGATATGGTGAGTAAAGCCATGTCCTGTAGTGCCTGGCATTCTATGTGGGCACTGGTTCATGTCCTAGCTACTCCACTTCCAAAGCAGCTCCTTACTTATGGCCTGGGAACCAGCAACAGATGCCCCAAGTGCTTGGGCCCCTGCTACCATGTGGGAGATGGGGATGAATCTAGCTTCAGCCTGGTCCAGCGCTGGTCACTGCTGCCATCTAGCGAATGAAGCAGCCGATGGAAGATCTCTTTTCCTCTCTGTAACTGACTACCACATCAATCAATCAATCAGCCAAACTTTCTTTAAAAAACCCAAGAGAAACAAACATTCAGCCTTGGAACACAAAATGCCACTCTATGTAGCAATTTGCTCTTGCCTGTGACCACTCAGGGGAG